AACCAACAGCAAGGAGCTGAACCAGGAGGCCGTGGCAGCCCTCAGCTCCAGGGAAGGCTTCCCGCACGTGTCCGCCAGCGCACCTGGTATGTTCTTTACCTTTCCTTTGGAAGACGTGGACCTGCTGGGCGCCCACCTGTCTGGCTTGGTTGGCTGCCCCCAACTACCACTGCTCCACCAAGGGGAAAGGGTTCAGGGGACATGGCTTCTGCAACACGCTGGGCAGGTGAGGGGGTGCTGGGAAGGGGGCTGGTTAGAAGCCCACTCACCACACCTCCCAGAGCCTGCGCGTGTGGACAGGGGACGGCTCGCTGGGACCAAGACCCACGTGAGGCCGGGCAGTGCTCAGCTCCTCCAGGAAACGCTTAGCAGTCTGAGCAGAAGTTACCCCACAGCAGAGCCTGGAGGTTGAGGACCCTAATTCCATGCTCCAAGGGTCCCACCCCAGAGGCCACAATGCGGGAACAGCTCAGGCTCCCCGACCCCATGTCCCAGAACTCAAGGTCTGAGCAGCAAGAGTCTTAAACTGTCTTCCTTTATTTGTTTATATTTGCAATATGAAACAGAAGCTCGGCACAAACACACGCACACTCACGCCAGCCTGGGGAGAGGGAGCTGGGACAAGGTCACTTGGCAGCTGGGCTGGACCCCAGACCCTTGGGAGTAGGAAGGGGACCCCAGCCAGACCCCCACCCCAGAGTCCATGGGAGATGGGGGGGGGGTCTCAGTGAGTGCGTGAGGGCCCCAAGGGAATGTCACTGGGGAGGCCCCCTGGGACCAGGACCCCCAGCTCCCTCCCACAGAGCTGGCTGGGCCAGGTGGAGGGTCTTTTAGCTCCCAGCCTGGGTCAAAGTGCAGGTCCAAGGCAAGGGGATTTGGGCAAAGGCACGACCCCCACTTGGGCCCTCCCCCAAGGTGGACCTGAGCTGAAAGGCCAAGTGTGGGTGTGGGCGTCTGCACCGGAGGGTGGATGGGCATGGTGGGAGGGGAGGGTGGGTGGCAGCCTCAGGACCCTCACCACAGCAGCCCCAGTGGGACAGGGTGAAGGTCCAAGCCACTGCCGCCCAGTCCTGCTTCCTTCTGGCTCCCCGCCTACCCCCCCTCTC